AAGATAGATAATGTGACAACCTTAGTACCAGACTTGTGGCCCTGTCATGGCTTTCCTCATTCATGTCAACAGTGTGGGGGAAAAAAAACAACATTTAATTGACGATAGCAGCCATTAAAAAAAAGTAGAAAAAAGAGAGACGTATGGAAAGTCTTTAGACTATGTGTATACAAGTTATGTACTATCTGTGTGTGTGTGTGTGTGTGTGTGTGTGTGTGTGTGTGTGTGTATGTGTGCTGGTATTGAGACCTCATGTTTTCCTTTGGCTAGTGCTCTACCACTTTGAGCCACAGCTCCATTTCTGATTTTCTGGTGATTAACTGGAGTTAAGAATCTCATGGACTTTCCTGCCTGGGTTGGCTTTGAACTATAATCCTCAGATCGTAGCTTCCTGAGTAGCTAGGATTACAGGTGTGAGCCACTAGCACCGACTTATGAGTTATGTACAATTCTAGATCTTTATATTTTATTTGACATATGATAGAAGATGGTAAAAACAGCTCAGAGTACAGAATCGGAATTCTTTTGATGCTTAAGTTCAAAATTTCCATTAGGAGAAAGCAAGACATGCTGGGAAGTAAGGGTGAGCAGGAAATAGGAAGTGAGGGTTATTTACAAATTGAAGTTAACATTGCTTTTGCCTATGTCCTTTCCAGCTTTTTAAAAGTGAGATGCCTTTTTTTTTTAAGCTTTTCCAAAGGAGGCTTTTCAAAGCAATACATCTCATCTTCCAGGTTTAACATAACTGCACCCCACATTCACATGGATTTGAGAAAATATATACATTTATATTGTAACACAAACTAGAGTTTCAAAATTAGACTTGTGGGTGAACAGTCAACAGCCGACTGAAGAGTCCTCCCTCACTTCCCAATAGCCACGCGCAGCTGCCCCCCCAACAATCAACAAGATAGCTCAGCAGGGCCTCATTAATGGGGGGGGGCATCTCCATCGGCCTAGTGTTTCCCCAGTGTTAGGGGCCACCGAAAAGGTCACCCAGGCCCCTCGTTTGGCAGCAGTGAAGCTGGCATTCCCAGGGAAACCCTGGGTCCGAAACGAAGAAGAAAAGTGCAGAGCACGCCCCGGAAACGCCCAGCTTCACCCCGCGGCACCAACCAAGCCTGCGACCCGCTGGAGTCACCGCTTCCGCCGTCCGCAGAGGCGTCGCCATGGCAACCGACGCCCGGGGTGGGGGGGGCGCTGCGCTCAGCCAGCCCCACGGGACAGAGACTAATGGCTGAGAGGACGGTCAGGCCCGGCCTGGGGAAGGTGGGAAGGCTGGGAGCGCCCTTCCCTCTGGGGCAGGGGTTGGAGGGTGGGGGGTGGAGAGAACCATGCAGGATTCCCACTTCAGTGAGGTTCAAAATGTACCGTTAGGGAAGCAGAGAAGGAAAGAAAGAAAGGAGAAGAAAAAAGGAAGAAAGAAGGAAGCCAAATTCAAAATGAGAGAAGTCATGGGAGGGAAGAAAGGACAGTGTAAGACATGCTCCCACACAGGAGCCTACAGTAGCTCACACCTATAATCCAAGCTACTCAAGAGGCTGAGATCTGAGGACTGCAGCTCCAGGCCAGCCTAGGCAGGAAAATCTCCAGTGAACCACCTGCAGCTGCAAGTGGAGCTGTGTGTGGCTCAGGTGGTAGAGCACTGGCTGTGAGCACAAAAGCTCAGGGGGAAGGTTAAGCTCTGAGCCCCAGGATTAGTGTGTGCCCAGGTGCACGCGCACGCACGTGCACACACACACAAAGTTCTAAATGGAGAAAGTATACCAATATGCTTGGTGCTTTTGTGGGGAAGCCAGAATTTGAAATATTTGCAGGAAAAGATGCCATGAGCGAAGGAGGAATCATAATTTTTCTTTTCCCTTGAATAAGTCTGCGGGGCGGTGTGGGGGTTTCCTTATGGGAGAAAGTGACAAACAAGATGCTAAAAAAAAATTAAATAGAAGAGATAAAACACATGAATCATGCGATCTTGGCATAAGGGTGAAAGAAGAGGTCTGCTCAGAAAGAAAGATGTAATTCTAAGAGCTGGAAAGATTACTCGTGTTTCTTTACGATGACTCGTAAAGAAAGCCAACTACCAGCTTGTATTTATGAAGAAAATTGAATCGAAACGCGCCGTTTTTAAATGTTCATCCTATCCGTAACGCTTTTGCACAGGAAGATGTAAAAATATTTTATCTTCAGATGGTGGAATAGAAATCTGGAATGTGGACAAGGAATCAAACTCCTTAAAATTCAGCTCAAAATCTGGGTGTGGTGGGGTTTGCTTATCATCCCAGATACTTGGGAGGTCAAGATAGGAGGATCTCGATTTGAAGCTGGCCTGGACAAAATTGTGAGACCCTATCTGAAGAAAACCAAAGGACTGAGGCATGGCTCAAGTGGCCGAGTGCTTGAGGCTCTGAGTTCAAACTACAACTTTGAAAAAAAAATGAAATAAATACATCCTGTAATACATAGGCGTATATATCGTACATCTATATATGTGTATTTATATGAAGGCTCCTCATCTCTAGCCAGCTGGGAGCCAGGGCTCTCAGGCAAGGACTTCATTTTGAAAGACGCTTGGTGGAACAATCAGGCCAAGCCAGAGCTAGTTAATGCTCTCTCCTCTCCTCTCCCCTCTTCTCCTCTCCTCTTCTCTTCTCTCCTCTCTTCTCCTCTCCCCTCCCTTCCCCCCTCCCTCTGGCAGTACTAGTATTCTTTTTTTTTTTTTTTTAGTCAGTTGTGGGGCTTGGACTCTGGGCCTGGGCACTGTCCCTCAGCTTTTCAGCTCAAGGCTAGTACTCTACCACTTGAGCCACAGCGCCACTTCTGGTTTTCTGAGTGGTTTATTGGAGATAAGAGTCTCACAAACTTTCCTGTCCAGGCTGGCTTTGAACTACAATCCTCAGATCTTAACCTCCTGAATAGTTAGGATTACAGGCATGAGCCACCAGCGCCTGGCAAGTAATATTTATTACGCAGGAACTCTACCACTTAAGTTGTGCCTTAGTTCCTTTTTAGTTTGGTTGTTTTGAGATAGGGTCCCACTTAAAGTCTAGGCTGGTCTGGGCTAGAATCCTCTTGAATTCAGTCTGCCACCTACTTGAGGTGACTGGCGGACCTCAGGAAGCCCCGCTATTAGCTAAGATGACATCTTGTGATCTGTTTGCCTGAGCAGGCCTTCTGATCTTCTGGATTTCAGCCTCCTAAATCATTGGGATTACAGGCAGGAGGCACTGTACTGGTTCTGAGTTTACCTTTATACTCTTCCCGTTCCACCCCAATGCTGACTTCACACCATTCCTGGGAAGAAATGGGGCTTTCATGCATGCCATTGTTGTGTGGTTGAATATGTGACCGTGAGATTCTCAGTCTATTCCAGTGGGAAAGATGATCTGGAATGCAATAAACCCTCGACCCAGAACTTGGAATTCAGGGCTGGGAAGCTAGCTCAGTGGTAGAGTGCTTGCCTTGCATGCCTGAGGCCCTGGGTTTGATTCCTCAGCACCACATAAGCAAAAAGTAAAAAGCCAGAAGTGGCGCTGTGGCTCAAGTGGTAGAGTGCTAGCCTTGAGCTGAAGACCTGAGGGACAGCGCCCAGGCCCAGAGTTCAGGCCCCACGACCGGACCCAAAAAAAAAAGAACTTGGAATTCAGAGTGATGGATGCAGGCTGCCAGACACGATTTTCCTACGCAGAGCTGGTTGGAAAAGTGCAGATACTTAGGGCTCACCAGGTGTAGAAGGAAACCTGTGAGTTTCCCTGGTGTGTCTAAAAAGCAGAAATGTCTGGAAGATGAGGCTTCCACACTTGCTTGCTTGGGGTGCTTTTTCTCTCAGAAAGGCCAAGAGCAAACCCAGTATAGACCCCGCTTCGGGGAGCGTTTTATAGCCGGGAGGACCTCGTACACAGGACACGAGCTCCCCTAAACACGGCAGCTCTCCTCTGTTCTGGAAACCCCTGTGCGCCCACCCCGCCTCCCCGCACCTTCCTTTCTCCACCATGCCAGAGCCTTCCTGTGTGAGCCCCAGTGTGCACACAGAGAAACACATTGCGCGATTGTGTGTAATATATATATAAATTAATGTAATATAATATATATGATGGTTGTTAATGCCATTGCAGTTCCACATTAGAAAAGCTTACAGTTTCTTTGATTGGTTGTGCTAAAAGGATTTTATTCTTGGCAGTACTGGGGTTTGAACTCAGGACCTGGGGTTGAAACTCAAGGTCCTGTAGTAGGCTAGCGTGACCCGAGCTGTGCCTCCGGCGATGCTGTTTTTCACTGTATCACCTCACCTGGAAGTTTTATGAGTTGGGGCTTATGGATCGCTTTTGAAGCGTGGGCAAACTGAGGCCTGAGGCTCTGGACTGAGGCCACGGGGGTGGCGGAGGCCGGGCCTCACTGCTCTGTCGCCTCCCACCCTGTCTTCTTCCGGTCAAGCATTGGCATCATCACGCCATGCTGCAGAGGGCACTTTGGGCAATACACACGACCACACACACACACACACACACACACAGACACACACACACAAACACGCTCCATGGCGTGTGCCGTACCCAGCCATAAACCAGCCTTGGATTGAGGCCATCCATCCTTCCCCTGCCCCTGGAGTAGCTGAGATCTCAGGGACACCTCAACCATGCCCAGCTTATTGCTGGAGCTGGGGTCTTGGTAACTTTTGCCTGGGTTGTCCTCAAACTGCGATCCTCCTGATCTCTGCCTCCAGAGTGGCCGAGATGACAGGTGTGGGGCACCATGCCTGGACATCTCTTAATGTAACGTAAATGAAGAATCTGTGTCTGTATTCTCGGATTGTCTACTCCTGACCCTAAGCAAGAATGATAGTTGGAACTTGTAGATCCTTCACCAGGGGCTGAAGACAATGTTGAGAATGCGTGTGCCCTCCTGTTCTTAATCATCCGGAGACATGACCGTCAGCCCATTTGACAGCGGAGGAGACGGAGGTTTAATGAAATCAAGCCATCTGCCCCCGACGTGGACTTTACCTGAGTCTAGGTGGTCGAGGTGCCAGGGATCCGTGGCGGACGACATGGGGGAGAGCGTCAGCGGGGAGGCCCCGCAGTTGGACTCCACCAGCTCGCCCTGGACGTGCACGTGGGCCGAGGAGTTCGTGTGCCTCAAGGCGGCCTTGAGCGGGGCGATGTGGTTGAACTGCACCCTGGAGAGGCAGCCTGTGAAGCCTGGGGTGTTGTACTTGTGGATCTCCTGGTCGATCTTGCCCGTTTCTGCAGTGGGGGGAGGGGAGAGAGAGAGAGTCAAGACGTGAGAAACACTCCCGTGGACGATCCGTCCTGGAATGGCAGCGGCCACTCAGACCTCAGTTTCCCACACCGCGGCCTGTGGATGAAATGTTTGCCCCGCGGGCCAACCATGCTGTATAACAAGTGACAACACTGTGTCTTCTCTACCTCTGGTTTTAGAGCCTTACAGACATGAATGCCAACGGCGTCCGTAAATGCCTCTTCCTGGCTAGCAGAGCCTCCTGATCCCAGAGCCTTTCGCCCGGTGTGACTTCATTATTGAATTATCTACTTCTTTCTTTATTTTTGCAGAGCTGAGAAATAAACTCTGTCTTTGGCGACAGCATCAGGGCCTCTCCTAAACCAGGGTAGCAGGTTTGTCTGGGGCTCTGCAATGTGGTTCAGGAGAGATAGCACCAGAACTGACTCTTACAAAGAATGCCAGGCTGGCTATTTTATATGGAGGGATCTGTGGGCTCGCAGGGGTCAGGGGTCAGGGGTCAGGGCCTTGGGTTTTTGTTTTTTTTAAATTATTTTTGTGTCAGTACTGGGTCTTGAACACAGGATCTTGAGTTCTTGCTTGGCTTTTGTGCTTAAGGCTGGTGCTCTACCACTTGAGCCACACCTCTCGTTCCAAGAAGGGCCTTGCATGCCAGGGAAGGTGTTTGCATTTTAATAGGAAAGTCAGAGATGTTTAGACTGCTGAGGATTGCCATGGAGGCTGGACTGGAGGACAATTCTAGTGGCAATTGCTCAAATCAGGATTCTACCATCTCTATGTCCCCCAGCCACCACACCGCATCTCTCAAAACTTTCTGACTGCAGATGCTTCTTTTTGTTAGCGATGGAAGCAGGGCAGCACGGGGGATCTGAGTAAGGCACTTTGTTCTCTGCCAGCCTCCTTGGACCCTTGCTTGCTCTCCCTGAACCTGAGCTGTGCTGTTATCACTGAGGAATCAGGTTAGGTTTTGTTCCATCAGTGGAGAGTTGAGTGGAGAGGTCTGACCCCGCCCCTTTTCCCAGAATCCCTGGCCTTTTCCTCAACTTTAAGGAGAGCGCACACCCCTGCCGTGCCACATGAACTCCTGTCTGTCCTTTAAAATCTCCCTGAGTTGCCATGGAAATGGGCTTTTGACAATGGACCATGGGCCAGAGAAATGGAGGCAGCTGGGACCCAGGCCTGAGGGCCTGTGGGTATTGGCAGAGAAGTGTGTGTGTGTGGGCGGAAGGCTGCACCGATGGCAGGAGAGCCTGGGAGGAGAGCCGCTTTCCTCTTCTATTTGGGGCTCTTTCACTTGCTTCTGTAGCTTTTCAGGCCCTCCCTCCCCCCACGTGGGAAAATTCCCTGTTGTCAGCTGTGAGCCCATCTGGGAAGGTCACTGGGTCAGCAGAAGAGCAGGGCCAGGCTTCCCATATCTGGAGGCCATTTCAAATCTGGATGACATGGCAGGTCCATGCTTATTCTCTCGTGGCCGGAGACAGTTCCTCTGGGGACCAAGTGCTCTCAATTCTATAGGACCCAACAGTTCCAACTTGGTCCATGTGATAATAACAGGATTAGAGCATCGACTATATGCCAAGGTCAGCCATGGGTGGGGGATTGTACCCAGTCCACGTTATGCAGTATCTCACCAGGTCTCCTAGCAACCTGGCTCTTATTTGTATGTGGCATGTCTCCTAAAGGTCCCTGGGGGTAATAGCTTGTTTCCCCAGCTATTTGTAGGAGGTGTGGCCTAATGGGAGGAAGTTAGAACATTGGGAGAGTGCCTTGAAGAGATTTTAGGATTCTAGTTTCTCCTCCTCCTCCCCCCTCTCTCCTGTTCTTTTCTTCTTTTCTGCCATGAAGTGAGCAGACCTCTTCTACCAAATGCTCCTGCCATGATATTTTGTGCCACTATGGAACTAAATAGGTTAAATAACAGTGTCCTGAAAATATGAACCAACATGATGAACTTTTGCTCCTTCTAACTTGGTTAATCACACACACACATTTTATAGTGACAGAAAGCCAGCACAAACTCTCTTAGCTGGATAGGATCAGGCCCACTTTGCAAAGGAACAAACTTCTACTTGAAGGCTTTGCCAATGAATAAATGTTTGTGGTTCATCTAAAAAAAAGTAGGGAAATCAAGTGTTTTGTATTGGTTGCCATTTCTTTCTGAAAAAAAAAAAAACAACACATCACCTTACATTGCTTTTCAGAATCATGATGGTGTCTGTAGAAAGGACATATGGAGGTTTTTAGAGAAACTGTGGTGGTTACGACAACTGTTACTGTTTCATTAGAGGCAGAGCCAACAGAATTGTTTTCAACAATGTGGTGAGCTGGCATCTGAGCCTGGTCCACATTGTTCAAAGTCCCAGCAAGCTCTGTAAATCTGCTTCCTGAACAAGAGTTTGTATTTTTTTTGTGCACACTGACAAACAATAGTGGGGTATGGCTAGCACGTTAGTAGAGCTGACTTCATTACAAGTAAATTATGTAAATCTGCAAAATCCATCGGCTGTCTCCTGCAGAAATCAAACATGCAGAGGCTGTTAACTAGCAGGCACTGCTTTTCACCTGGTGGTGTCTTGGTGGAGGAGTTCCTGTGAGGGAACTTGCCTGGTGGAAAGCAGCTTGGAGGACTGGGGGGGGGGGGGGGGGGGAAGGAGGGCAAGGTTGAACGGAGAGGATGGGGAGGGGGGGGGGATGTAGTCAAAATACTTTATGCACACGGGTAAACGTGGAGCAGGGAAGCTGGTTGAGACTGGTTGGGGACAGCGAAGGCATGAGAGGGGGACGGAGGGTGTGCGTCTATGGACATGTCAAAGTGGAAGCACTTTGTGCTAATTTTTAAAAAATTGATGCTAATTTTTAAAAAAATGTGGGGACAGAAAGTCGGGCAGTGCCGTCACTTCTGAAATGAACATCTCAGGCAGCAGCCAGTCCTTTCCCGTCTTTTGCGCACAGCGACGTGGGCCGTGGAAAGCGACCACTTATAATCCCGACGTGATTCTGAGGAACGCGTTAGTGAAGTGCTCAGGGCAGTCCTGAAGGAGGAGGCAGGCGGGCGCATGCGCACACTTCATCGTGCTTTGCCCTGCTGGTTGTCTGTCCAGCAGCAGGCTGGAGTGCAGGGAAGCGTCCAAAGAGAAAAGGGAAGGGAGGCGGCTCTGCAGAGGAGGCCTTGCCCTGGGGCCCCGCAGACTTGTGCCTGTCACCACTCCCCCCCCCCCCCTCCCCCCGTGACCGGGCAGCTATCCAGAGGAGGGGTCCCGCTGCAGAACTGCCCGTTCCTTGCAGAATTTCAATCTGCTTCTACATGCTTCTTGGATCTCCGATCGGCAATCCTTGCCAGCTGATTTTGTTAGTGTTTTTGCTTTTTAGTTTCCTATGCATCTTTTTTAAAGAAAGGAATGTGGTATTATGAAGTATAAAATCTGATTGCCAACTGAATCAGTCATGAAACAGAGCCAAAAGGTCTTTGCAGAACAATGTGACTTGGCTTTGTGGGTTGAGCACCTTGTGTGTGTGCTAGGAGCTATGGAAGTCACCTTTCTTAGTGTGTGTGTGTGTGTGTGTGTGTGTGTGTGTGCGCACACATGCGCGCAGGCCTGAGTCCCACCATTACTTCTGAGAGGCTGTTGTGCAGTTGGCCCCCAAGGTACTGTCCCCTCTGTCCCTTCCCCCCTGCTCAGGAGTGGAGTGTGCTTTTCTTGTCACCCCAGGAATGGCATGGGGTACCTCAGAGGCTGGGAATTAGATGGCATCTGATCATGGGCGATGGTGCTAGTCTCTTCCCAATTCCCTTCCAACCTGCCAAGGAGAAGGTGCCCCCTGGATGCAGTGTGGGTCCAGACTGCCCTTTCACTATGTAACAGGTGCCACTTGCCTCTTCCTAAGGAGAGGGCAGACCTTGGAGCTGGCTGTCCCCGCCCACCACAGTCCTGAACTTCACTGTCTCTCTCTTCACAGTAGTATGCACCGTAGCCGCAGCTTTGTCACGACAGTAAGCAGTAATACCCACGTTCTGTTTCATGGAGTATCACAGAATTTGTCATGACTATAAGCAATAATACCCACGTTCTGTTTCATGGAGTATCACAGAATTTGTCACGACTGTAAGCAATAATATCCATGTTCTGTTTCACGGAGTATTACAGAATTTTCCTTTCACCTGAATGTTTCTCTTTTAACAGAAATTTATGTAAAAGTACTTGAGCCAGATGCAGTGGCTCATGCCTGTAATCCTGGCTACATGAGAAGCAGACATTGGGAGAACTGTGATGTGAAGCCAGCCTGGGCATAAACTTGAGACCCCCATCTCAACCAATTGCTGGGCAGGGTGGTGTTCACCCGCAGTCCTGGTTATCCTGGGAAATGTAAATAGGAAATTTGTGGTCCAGGCTGGCACAAACACACTGGCCAGGCCCTGTTCAAAACACAAAAGCAAGTTGAAAAGGACGGGGATGTGCGGTTGAAGTAGCCCAGTTCAAGTGTAAGGTCCCCAAAGCAAAAAATAAAAAGACTGGAGGCATGGCGCCAATGGTAAAGCACCGCCTAGGCACGGGTGAGAACCTGAGTTCAAACCCCAGTGCCACCGCCACCCAAAGCAAGCCGTGCGCATTTCTTTCCTCATTGCTGTAACAAGCTCTGTGCGAACACGCTCCACCTGTCTCCGCTTTCCAGGGCGGTTGGATCCATGTGGATGAGGCGGCCTGGTGGAACAGAGCGGCAGGAAGCAGAGCGAAGGGAACACAGGAAGGGGCCGGGACAAGGTACAGCCCCCCCCCCCCCCCCCCAGGATGCCCCAGGGACCTGCTGCCTGCCACCTGGGCCTCCACTGTGAACCCACCGAGGCACGAAGGAACCCGCGCATAAAGTCAGAGCCCTGCCAGCCTCATCTTCCTCGGACGCTCCCTCTCCCCAGCCCAGCCATGGCGAGTGGCTTCAAGAAAGACAGTGGCAGCAAAGGAGGGGGCAGCTGGAGCTGGCGACAATG